AAATAGCTTTATGAATGTGTATAGGTTAAATCAGGCAAACTGATATAAAAGGTGACCTAGAGAATTTTAAATTTTGTCGGTTATTGCGTAAAATTTGACATTCACTTAGACTTTATGAAACTTCATATTTTAGTAAATAATATTGTGTAGCTTTCAAGGCGAATTTGTTTAAAATTATAAATAGTTGGGGGGGCGGGGGCCTGACCGCTGAACTAAGAGGACGCTTGCCTCAACAGCTCCTGCGATTTGGGACACAAAATTTCAGACATCACAGGGACACTGAAATGGCACACAAAGGCCACCAAGTAACAGGAGATACTGAGGCGAACACACAGACACCACCCAAGCGACATTGTCACAAAGGTGCACCCAAAACAACGGAGAGGCCTACCAGCGTGGCAGGCACAGGGAAGACGGCCGCTTTCCTTTTTTTTTGAAAACTTTATTTTTGAAAGAATGATAAAGCAAAGACAAAGACATATGACATAATCAAAGCATAAAATAGACATTGCCAATGTTGCGTTATGAGAGGCATGATGCTGAGAATGTAAGCCCAGTGCAACGCCTTGTAACAGGTAAGTTAGTCGGCAGTCCAGTTTGTCATGTTGCCTTCATCTCCTCACCTATAATATTATTATGTTGTCACAACGTAATTTTCAACTTTGAACTTTGGGGCTGTTCCACAGTCCCAGTAACTAGTGGAAGGAGTAAGTAGAAAAGTAGGAAAGAATGAGAATAGAGGAAAGGTAGAAGAGTGGGGTCATCAGGGCATAAGCTGCTATTACCAGTTAGCCCCGATGTACTATCTCTGTCCCAAAGGGGTTCTTCCAGAATCTGTTAATTAGGAGTGTGTAGTGCTGGGGAAGGAGATATACTAATTTCGATAAGTGCTTAATGGACCGCGCCTATCCTGCGTTACGTGGGGTGCAATGCCAAATATTTAGACCAAGTTTTAGTGCCTCTTAGAGAAAGAAGTGGTCGGCAGGCCAGCTTGGCAGTATGCCGTCGTTGTCTCGTGTTACCACAGTATGATGTGTCAGCTAACTGATTTGCAGCGTGGAGCGTTGGGGTCGCTCTATTTTCCCTAGCCAGTAGAACTAAAGGAGAGAGAGACTATAAGAAACAGAGATAGAGGGAAGGCAGTAGGTTAGGGTCACCAGAGCGCAGGGCGTCGGGGCCAGTCCACCTAGGGTTTTCGTCTCAGTCCCCGAGGAACTCTTTCAGGGTTGGTCCAGTGTGGGTGTATAGTGCTCGCCCTGTTCTATTATTGAGCGGTTTCTCCAGTCAAGTCGCTAGTGGTCCATGGCTCCCATGTTTTCTCGAACTGTGAGACAGTGCCTCGGACTTTAGCCGTTAGGCTATCCATAAGGTGTATGTCTTTTATATTATGTATAACTGCACTCGGGGGAGGTGTTTCTACCTTCAACCATGCTTGCGCCAGAGCTCTCCGTGCTGCCAGCGTCACCTTATGTAGGAGTTTTTGCTCTCTACGTGTCCAATTATCTAAGGGTCTATTGAGGAGAAATGTCCATGGGTTCAGGTCTGGTGCTCTGTGGAAAATGCGTTTTATGAGAGTCTGGGTCTCTCTCCAGAAGCTTTGGAGCCGGGGACATTCCCACCACATGTGGAGGTATGTACCTTTCAGGCCACACCCCCTCCAGCAGTCGTTCGACGGGGTTTTCCCCATTCGGTGCAATGTTACTGGCGTGACATACCACCTGAGGAGCGTTTTAGTTGCCTGTTCCTGAAGGGAACACATGGACACTGAGGCGTTCGCCTCCCAAATTTCCCTCCAGTCTGTGCCCTCGAGTTCCTCTCCCAATTCCCTTTCCCATGCTTCAGTGTAAGTGAGCGTGCCCCATTCTTTTGTTTCAGAGCTAAGGTGTGCATATAGTTTTGATATCAAACCTGGTTGTGTCGTTTCGCGGAGGCACATGTTTTCAAAGAAGGACATGTGCCCTCTGGCTGCGTTTTGTAAGTATGGATCTTTCATGTAGTCCCTAAGTTGTAAGAATCTAAAGAAGTCCGCAGGGGTGAGGTGTGTGTTCTGTTGTAGGTCGTTAAATGTGACTGGCGTATTGTCCCTATACATGTGGCAGATCCTCTGTAGGCCTGCCGTTTCTAGGTTAGCAAAATCCCTGGGCACCATACCCGGAGGGAAGGCTCTATTTCTGAGCAGAGGGATCAGTGGGGATGGATTGGAGATTAATTGTATTTGTTTGCTGTGGCGTCCCATATCCTCAGGGAGTTTAAAATCGCTGGGCAGGTCGTTCGTAGCATAACTCTATGTTCTCGTGGGACCCATATGTGATATTGGGGTAGATCCGCTCCCGTGAGTAGGGACTCCAAGTCCACCCATCTCCTCACATCTAACGGGGCGTGCCACATCGCTATCTGTACGAGTTGGGCTGCAAGATAGTAATAATATAAGTGTGGGAGGCCCAGTCCCCCCCTTTGTTTATGTCGAAATAGGATGTTTCTCGAAATCCTATGTCTCTTGTTTTGCCAAATGAATTTTCCAATTGCTTGTTGTAGTGGGGATAGGTCAGCTTTACTGAGTTTGATAGGAAGGGCTTGGAAAAGAAATAGTATTCGGGGAAGGATATTCATTTTTACTGCATTTATGCGACCTATCCAGGAGATAGGCTTGTCTATCCATTTTTCCATGTCTGATATAAGTGTCTTAAAGAGGGGGGTATAGTTTAGGTGGTAAATATTAGCTGGGTTGTCTGGCAAGTGTATTCCTAGATATTTAATGTAGCCGCGTGCTATGGGGATGTTGTGTGCTGCTCTTATTGCCTCCGTGTCCGCCGCCGACACTCCCACTGGGAGAGCGCTAGATTTGTCGAGATTGGCTCCGTACCCCGAGAAGGCTCCATATTGTGTAAGAACCTCGGCTAGTGCATCCATTGATTCCCTTGGCTCTGTTATTGTAAGGAGGACATCATCTGCATAGGCAGATACTAAAAATTCTTGGCCTCCCACCCTAACACCTTTTATCCGTGGATGTTGCCTTATGGCCTGTAGTAAGGGCTCTAATGATATTGCAAACAACAAGGGGGAAAGAGGACAGCCCTGGCGAGTGCCGTTTCCCAATCTAAAGGGTTGGGGCCATGTGCCTGCGATTTTAACTTGGGCTGTTGCGTTGCTATACATCGCTTTTATGGAAGATATGTATTTCGTCGGGAAGCCCAGATATGTTAAGAGATTAAAAAGATAGGGCCATTCTACTCTATCAAACGCTTTTTCAGCGTCTATGGATACTACTAGGGTGGGGATTCTGGCCGTTTTCTGTCTCCATATGATGTCTATGTTTCTCCTGGTATTTTCAAAGAGTTGACGGTTTGGTATGAACCCTACCTGGTCTGCATGTATCAGTGTTTTCAGGATGGGATTGAGGCGATCCGCTAGTATTTTTGCCAAGATCTTGACGTCTTGATTAATAAGGGAAATGGGCCTGTAGCTCGCCGGTATCGTCGGGTCCTTGCCCGGCTTGGGGATAAGGATTATGTTAGCTAGGGACATCTCGTTCTCTGGGTTCCCACCTGACATAAGATTATTAAATAGTCTCGTGAGGTGGGGAGTTAGCTCTTCCCGAAACGTCTTATAATATCCTCCGTCTAAGCCATCGGGGCCCGGGGCTTTGTGGCTCTTTAAGCTTGCTATGGCTCTGTCAATTTCTTCGCTGGTTATGTCTTCGTCTAGCCTGTGGATCGCATCTGCCGATAGCTTCGGTAGTTGAATATTCTGCAGAAATGTATCTAGTTTATCATTCACCTCTTGTATTTGATCTACATTTTTGGGTGTGTGATTGTATAGTGTTCTGTAGTATTCCTTGAATATCTGGGCAATACCCGCCGGTGTATTCTTGATGGTGCCGTCTGTGTGCTTCATTGCTCCGATATGAGTTCGTCTCTGTCTAGGCTTTAGTACCCTTGCTAACAGGGTGTCGGTTTTGTTAGCTTTCCTGTTGCCGCGACCAGCCAGGTACACTATACTGGGCCCTCGTTCCCCCCCCCTTTGGACCGGCGGGGGTTATCCCAGTCTACCCCCACGCGACCTCCCTTCTTGTGGATGCCAGTGAGGCATCTAGATGGGCTGAGGCCTCCCACACTGCAGCCCTGTGTAGCGCCTGGAAAGAAACGGAGCTCCGACTTACCGCAATTTTCAGCTCCTTCTGGGAGAACCTGGAGACCCATATGCGACCTTCCGAAACGGATACCGAGCCGGGGAGCATGCTACTGAGCCCAGTACAAGTGGTCACCTGGCGGGACGCAGAAATTCTCACAGGCCCCGCACACATGAAAGGCCGGCGCCGTAGAGGTGCTACCTCGAGATCAGACTCCTGGAGCCTCGTTGACAGCAGAGGCAGCCCGAAATCTACTCTCAGGGCCACGGGAACAACCAAAACAAAGCACCCAAGACAACCTCTCTGTCTAGCAGTGACTCGGACCGGGACTAGTTCTGATCCAGACCACCCACAGGAGAAGACTCTGCACAGCCGACAATAATTTTGATAAATGTATACGCTTCTGTACCTCTCAGCTCATTCTCCTCGTTAGCATTAGAGATGATCATATGGGCAGTAATTTCTCTATTTGATAACCAGTAAATGCTTTAATTTAACCCTGCATAGTCAGTTAAACAGCCTGAGTATGTCATACTTTTGTTTTATAATTAGCAAATATGGGCAAAGTGACTCTAAAGCCAGGACTGTTATTTTCTGTTTCTATCGGTGACATACAGGCTTTTGCAAGATTAAATTGCAGTTAACAGCCAGAGTAGATGGCATACCGACAACTGCTTGCATTGAACCCTACCTAGCCAGTTACCTAGCTTGAGCGTAACACACTTTTCTTTTATTTTATATAAATTTAAAAATATGTGCTGCTGATACTAACGCCATGCTTGTTTTCTTCTGTTACACTATACTGTTCTTGTACTAGCTGTCGTGGCAGCACAAGCAATTGTGTTACTTTGCGCACATCAAAAACAAAGAATTTAAAATTATAAATAGTGAACATGAATTCCGTTTTAATTGATTAAACAATTAGATAGGGATAATAAAAAAAAAAAAAGAAAAGCGCTGCACAGGAAAGAAAAGGTGAGTCACTTTGCTGGAGGTGGCGTTTCATCACCCGGTGTGTGGAATCTGTCTTGCTTGGCTTTGTCAGTTTCCCGGGCGGCATCCATATAGGCTTCCCTCTGACATAACTTGACATAACTGCTGTACAGGTATAGTGTGTAGATGTTTAGTGATGGGCAGGTAGTCCACGACCGAGTCCTCTCGGCACCCCCATCATGGAAAACCCCACTCAGTTCCCCCCAACGCGTGCTCCTATCTGTCAGCGGGAGGCTCCACTGCACCGTGGGCACTCGGGGACGGTGGCAGTCCGGCGGTCTCCCCCCCCCCCCCGAAAGTCTCCCCCAGTTGTGCCCTGGCTTTTGGTGGGGTCTCGGGTCAGCTTTTTAAGGTTTTTTTGGTGGCTCAGAGCCAGAGCTGGCATGAATGGCTGCCGCTCAGCTCGGCAGCCCAGCCCCTCCCCAAAATCCATATCAAATTTAAATATGTATTCAGATTCTTCTAGCAAAAACTCCACATAAATATACAATACTTTGCAATTTTCCATTGCCCCAGCTGTGTTATATGAGAAGAGCAACTAACAAAGGATAGCAAGTTGCTTAGTGAAGATCTGCAGAACATAGATATTTAGATCATTAGAGCATTATACAGGATTACATACCATTTTTCATTATTTCCTATGTATTGAACAACTAGCTGTGGTTGTTATGGTTGTTATCTCAGCATAGCTTCCCTGAAGGATAAATACATTCATACATTGCTAAATAACTTATCTTAAATAAAAACAAGTAAAACATTCTCTATCCTAAGTAAACTAAGGAAATAATAAGCAAAAATAACATGTCAGGTTATGGTTTTAGATTAGTGACCTTTACTCATATGACTTTAAATATGTTTGCGCAGATGCGTTTCCTTGGTCTGACCTTCAGTCACTTTAAATGTCTGCTCTGGTGATATAGATGAAGAGGGTCTGATCCTGGACGCCAAGGATACACAGGTAAATATCAGACCATAACAATAGTAATGAAATGCTGCGCCAAAATGAATAAATAAATACTAAAAGACAAATAGTAAAAGGGTATATAAATAAAAACTGCTAAGAATTATAAAATAGTCCCAATATATATTAGAAGTTGAACTGTAGCAGGCAATGCTTTAGATGGTAGGGTCTCTTCTCTGTTTATAGTAGTCCTGTTCATCTCGTGATATAGAAGACACAAGAAGAGAAGACCAATCGTGCGGAGTGTAAAAAGTTAATATTTGTGGAATAAAAATATAAATATTACACTCACATTTGGATGAGCTATAGCCAGCTCAGGTATAACAGGCATACAGCGGAACAATCCCCGCTTATGGGATATATGGATGCTTGTCCTCCGGAGGGGAATGATGTCCGACTCTCAGGAAAAGGGATATATAAAAACAACTCTCTGCTCTCTGTTAACACGATATAGAAGTTCTTAAAATAAAATAATAAGGTACTCACAAGTAAAGTGCAGGCCTGACTGCACTCTGGTGACAGCGTTGGTGGTATGATCCCCACCTCAGGATAGGCTTGTTAAGCAAGTTGTAAAATCAGATAAATGCCAGGAAAAAATGAATAAAAATAATAAAATTGTGTGTAAAAGGATAGTGGCACAGAAAATAGCCAAAAAATCTTTTTATTATATAAAATACACAATAAAAAAATATTTTTATTATATAAAATACACAATTTATAAATTGGCTATTTGGCTATTTTCTGTGCCACTATCCTCCTATAGAGGGTTAGAGGGTTACCCTCTGTTAGGCCGCTGCCTATCCATTTTGTTATTATTAGCGCTAACCTACTTCTTTGTTTTTTCTAAATATTAGACCATGCCAAAATAGGGTATAGTGGTTATGGTGTTTTAAGTGCACCTTTTATTGCTCCATAAGAAAACTGTTCTATATTGTCTGATAACAAGATCAGGTTTATTTACTGAACTGAGAATTCAAAGTGAATTCAAAGTGAATTTCAAATTGGAAAATTGCATTAAGCTAGCTATGCTTTCACTTACCTGGCCTTAAATTTGAAATTCATTTTAAAACCACTTAGAGTCCTCACTGTAGTAAATAAACCTGCCAGTCTAGAATGTCAAGTCTTTCACTGTAGATTTTCCATTTGAAATGAATGTTTGTTTGGCCTAGTGCCCTTTATATAGGTTACATTTCAAAAATTCAAAAAAGAACAACTATTTGCGTCTCAGCTGAATATATCTATGTCTTTCTGGATATCACAATGGTGCAATATTTCTTTACTTTGTTAATTTATTACTTTCAATGACAAAAAAATTCCTATAATTTGCTATCATTTACTGGGTTTGTAATATGACTAATCCTAACAAGATCTAAAATATCCTATTCTTTTTCTATGTTTAATTATCCATACTTATTAGATGCCTACTCCCCCCTCTCTCCCCCAATGCATATCCATAGGTGGAAGAAATTTATGAACAGCCGTGAATTTTTACAGGTCCATGTTACTTCTCCCAATGTTTGCAAATGCCCATATGGCAAACAAATCATTCAGATTTTTTTTTACTCCAAATTGAGTTAAATATTTTTAATAACTTTCCAAAAGGAGGAAGTCTGTAGCTTGTATTCTGTAATAATAAAGAATGCTTTTATTGTACATTGATATTCTCAGTATCAAATATAGGAGGATTCCACTGTTACTTCTCCACAATTTAGTACAGACTGGGCATTTTTTGAGTTCTTCGCACTGTTTGCTGTAGGGTTTACCATGCATAGCCTTTCTATTTTAGGCTTTAACTGCAATCATAATTCACAATTATTTCAGTATGTTTCCTTCCTGGTTTCATATATTCTTTTGATTATTTTTGTCTTTCAGCTGCATTTCTTTCGTAATATTTACACATAAGCATTAATCAAGGATTTTTACTTGCATTCATTCATCGTCCTTTTAACTTTTCAAGTAACTGCATGTATTGTTGGATCAGCATTTGTCATTTATGAAGACTTAGTTATTAGTAGATATTTATCCAGGGTATAGTCACATTCCCTCAGCAGTTACTCATATGACTGTGAACATCTGATAAAACAAACTGTTTTGTAACTGGTCAGAGAGTCTCGAAAAGTTTATTGCATTATTGTAAATTGTGTGAATTGCAAAAAAATAAAAAAATAAGAAAAAATTATTTTATTTTGAAATGTAGTCTATAAAGACTGAATTGAGAACAATATTCCAATATTTTAAAAATCGAATTTTAAAATTCACAATTAAATTAACTATGATCCATTGTATGGTAAATAAAGCCAAGCTTTTGTGAAATAACTGTGTAGGGATGACATTGGTTAACAGACATACTCTCAGATTTGCATCAACATGTAAATTTATTGAGAATTTGAGAATAGGGCTACTTCCAGATTAATCAATCTCCTAACTAATATTGGAAAAGAGTACACTTTGGAATTCTTTCTTTTGTATATATTTTATCAGTAAAATCCAAAACAAACAAACAAAGTGACAATGTTGTATTTTGTCCATTGTACATGTTTACCTTCTACACCAAACCATTACTGTAATAAGGAAATATCTGCACTCAAAAGTGTTTGTAAGGACTAACCTTTCTGACAAAGCTGATCCGGGGAAAATATCAGAATACTTAAAGTATCGCATCTCAACCTGCAAAATGTTTTCAGAAATATAATAGCATCCTGGTATCCTTAGACCTTGTTGAATATATAATGGTGGCTCATCTATAGGGGCAAATACAGAGAAACTGCCAGGAGAAAGAGGGAGGGTTGATAAATACAAATAAGAGAGAGATCCTGCCTTTCTCTACATCAGAACATTAAAATCCAGTAAGGAGCACACTTCAAAGATGGCATGTGCAAAATAATACACTAAAAGAAAATGTTAATTACTCCGCAATGTGTAATGTAAGCAAAAAACTAAACAACAATTTCATCTAAATGATTTTGTCTATCAAATATAGGTTTAGAAATGTTTTTATTAGGAACTGTCAGAACCAAAAATAATTTGGCGTTTACAAGCCTTTATTACAAACCCAGCGCCCCTAATTCACTAAACCATGCAGCTTGTGACAGGCACAATACACACAATCCCTGGTGAGGATACACATTTTTTACAGTCTGTGCAAGTAGCGTTACTTTTCAATCCAAAGAAATATACAATTTCTACAAATTCTACAATTTCTACAATACCTGCAATTTACAGTTAGAAAATATGTGTACCTAAAGATTTAAGCTTACAGTTATGTGCAGTCCTTAAAGGGAACAATTGTTTTATTCAGGATTAGTTCCCTTCTAACACAGTGACCACTGTCCAACTCCTTTGCTAGTAAAAAGTTAGATAAAGATTACTTGTGTGTGGGTGCTGTGTGTGGGATTGAGAGTGCTGTGTGGGTGAGTGAGGGTACTTTGTATGTGTGGGTGCTGTATGTGTGGGTGCTGCGTGTGTGTGTTTGGAGGAATTGTGGAGGCAGGTTAATGCCAATATGTATGTATTAATTTTTAAAAAATAATCATTAACCCCTTAAGGACAAAACTTCTGGAATAAAAGGGAATCATGACGGAATATTTCCGTCATGTGTACTTAAGGGGTTAACAAAAAAACGCAGGCATTGTATCCCTCCTTCCTTCTTACCTTTTGCATGGGAGGGTGGACCGTGCAGCCATCCCTGGTGGTCCTAGTGGTGAGTGAACTCTAGCCCACTCTTGTGAGACCTGGAGCATTACCATGGCAACACTCTGGATCTCGTATGAGAAACCCAGCAGAGCTGCAAAATAGAGCTCCTCAGGGTCCTCTCTCATCTCCCTCCCCCCCCGAGCCGGTCAGCTACATGTAAGTGCCTGTGGTCGGTGAGGGCTATCTTTGATCTTCCCACAGTCCAGTCATGGAACACAGCGGGGCCAGCCCTCAGATAGGGCCGGTCCTGCATGGGGAAATCCTGTGATCTCCACTGCCGTCCCCAGCCTATGGACATCGCGGCCCACCAGGCATTTGCCCAGTGTGCCCGATGGCCAGTCTGGGCCTGCTCTGGGCCAACCCTTCTGACTCACCATCTCACTTTTTTGTGGGGTATGATTTTGCAGAACTGATGTGAAATAGGAACTTATTCTCACTATTTATTGTAAATATTTTTTTATTATTTTGTAAGTGGTCTTATTCTGTCCATCTTTTCGCTCCAGGAATAGTACATTGGGGCTCCTTTCCTCCTCCTGTACCCTAAATAAACTTTATATGTGTCAAACTCAAATTCCATGAATGCATTCAGATCCCTGACAAATACCAATAAGTTACCGTATTTATTTATCTATTTTTGTTGCACAATATATAAGTATTGGTACTTACATGATACGATGAGCAAACAGCTGAAACATTAAATGTTTGTATATGTAATTAATGTAAGGAATGCCTGTACATACTGTTTTAAAATGTGTTTTTGTATCAGTTATACATGCTTCAAATCAATGTTATACTATTAATTATTCAAGCAAAAATAAATTTATATTGAAGAATTGTTAATACAATTCCTTCTTGTGTAGAAGTGTGTATCTTGAACCCTTCAAATGCCTGAAAAACATTTGTCTGTGGGTCTATATTACCATACATTATTCAGTCTGCTAATATCATCATTGTGGAATATATTCCTCTTTATATATAACTTTTTAGTTTTACTGCCAAAAAGAAAGTAATTGTAGAGGCTGCTTCTATTAATATGAAAAATGTAGGGGACAAGGATAGTTCCTTAGATAAAGTGCTTTTGCATTGTACAAGCGCAATCTAACATTAAAGGGACACTCTACGCAGCAGAATAACTACAGTTGAATGTAGTGGTTCTAGGGCAAGGAGACTATCCTGCATGCTGTGCAGTGTAAATGCTGCTATTTCTGAGAAAAGGCATTTTTTACACTGCTGCCGCACGCTACCCCATAGTGGCTATCTTTCAGACAACTACTAGAGGAATTCCTGGTTGACTGACATTTGGTGTCTACACACATTGCATAAAGATGCACTGAGTCAATGCATCTATGTGAAGAGATGATGATTGGTGCAGTACATCAACAATCTTTATGGGGATGCAATGGATTGTTTGAGATCATCAGTATTTTGTTTTATTTTTTTTCATTTTTTTTTCTTCACTTTAATTCTTTATTTTCAATGTGCATAAGATAACAAAACAAGCATAATGATAACAAATGTTATAAGACAGTGACATGGCTTTTAGAGTAACAGCACATTTTTTTAATAGGGCTAGGAACATGCTTAACATTTATAGCTAACTATGAAGGAAGAGAAGGTCAATACACATTTTAGCATGTTATAGTAACCTGACTGTGTGATGTTAGCTGAGCTTAATAACAAATAATAACATTCAGTCATGCAGAGGAGGTTTAGAAAAATAAAAGCAAGTATTAAGTAATATGCTTGGCTAGTATGTTATATGAAGAGAACAAGTTATATAGCATAGAACACGAAAAGTCCTACAGGGTGCCCCAAACCAATCAAAAGGGTATTTTGGTAGCTGTGGAGCAAGTAATTTAAGAACGGCATAAAACGGTACTAGAGTAGTTGGAAATGGCCCATATATCCTCATTCAAGGTGAATGGCCATTAAGCACTGCAGTTCCAGTGTAACCTATGTCAGCCGGATGATCAACTCAGTCCTGCAACCAAGGTGAGCACTGTAGGCTGTCACATCTCCAGGTGGATCAGCAGTTCAGGCCGCTCGTCATAGACAGGGATCGCCGTGGCACCTCAGAGAGGGTAGGAGGCCTGCCACCATTGCTGCTTTCTGGCTGCTTGTCGTGTGTGCAAGCTCTTGCAATGGATCACAGTCTTCTCCGTACACAGTTGGGTAGGCTTGCGTGCGGGCGGGAGATAACGCTTTCTCCGTCTGTGTCAGGAGCATGGAGATGACACCTCTGGTAAGCACTCGTCCGTTGTATGTGTCGCAGCCTGCTGCAGTCTGAGTGCCAATTTCTTCCAGAAGGCATGAGAGATGCCTTCCAGCCGTGCCAGGATATCGGGGTCTTCTTCACAGTGGTTTGAAGTGCACGTGGCGTCCGCCATTGTGCTCCACTTTGTGTCTGCAGGTTGCCTGT